GACTTGACGATACAGGGCTCAGAAGGATGTTCAAGTTTCTTACTGGGTCAGATGTCATCTGTGTTGACAAGGTTGAGGTACTGTTCACGCCTGTGGATGGACTGGCACGATGACCTGTAGCCCACACATGCGGCCCTCTTCTGGAACTACCATGGACATACAGTACACGTCCTACCCAGAACTACAAAATGAACTGGACAATGTTTTGGTTGCTAAAAGCGCTCATGAGTTCAGCATAGCTTGATTAAAGTCCATCATGTTTAAACCAAAGAATGAAAGGTTTGCACTAACAATGACTGGCTATGAAGCTCTAAAGTTTGTTAAACCCATAAACAGGGAACACATCATTGTATAAAAAAAGAAAGAGCTTAAATTTCAGGGAAGTGTTTTATTTCATATTTGAATTTATTTTCAAAAATTGTGGATAATATCAATGTTTCCACCATGAAAAATGTAAATTTCAGTTTAAATTTTCATACTTAAAAGTTTTACTAGTTTAAATGTTAACTAATTATGTTTAATAAGTTCATATGGTTAGCAGCAAGAGGTGATCTATGCTTATTATTAGTTCTTATCATGTGTCAAGGTCCTTTTCCACAGGTCTGTGGTGCAGTTTTGTAGGATACAAGATGTCTGATAGGGGATGTTTTGTTTAGTAATAATTCAAAAGACTTAATATTAATTATTTTCAAGTATATTTGTTTTACCTTTCCACCAGTCATTTGTTTAGAACATATTTTAAGGGAATAACTTTGGAAGGCAATGTGTTTGATGCAATAGTTGACTGGAATAAAAGACAGAAAATTGGCACATAAGTTAAGTTTTGTAGTGTTTATCAAGAGTCCGTGTTTTCTTCTCCTTGAACAAAAATAAAAGGGAGGTTAACATCTAACAGTGTTTGTTAATTATTAAATAATGCAGAATTTTTACATTTACCAGTTTACAAGAAACTGTTCGTGGATGAATAGCAGTTGCACAATGTGTTCAGTAAAATTGAAAACAATATTTCATGAATGATAATGTATAGGATCAGCAGTTTAAAAAATGTTTTTTCGACAGTCTTAAAACAGAAATCAGATATAATAGAAATTCAGTTAAAAAATAATTGGACATGCCAAAAGGTTTAGGTTTTTCAATGCACATCTTTACTGATTTACTTTTTAAAACATTTTGCGTATTCAAGCATTTACTTCAATGTTCTCATTTCAATTAATAAACAGGTGTCAGATGTTTTCTTTAGATGGGAAGAAAACACCAGTTTTTTGCATAAATCTCTCAGTCAAAATATTAAAAAAAGAAAAGCAATACTAATACAAGGACCTGCTTTAATTTTGCTTCTTCACTGGAGTACACAGATTTGGTAAAATATATTTAGACATGCTTGCTTGCTACTATCATGAACCGAAAATCCAAACAAAATAATAATGATTGTCTTTTCTATTGTTTATTGCACAATAAAACATTGTACCAAAAAATATGTGCGTAAAAATTCCCAAAGCCCAATTATATTTAGGTTTATAAGTCCTTCAGTATATAGGCTCTCAGGAAGAGATACAGTTCAATGGATTCATCTGCTGTGCTTGGTGGAAGTAAGAAGTTCTCTGACATTATAAGGCAACACAAGCTGAAAACTGTTTCATCACAGGTATAAGGTCCTCTCTGTTGACATTCTTGTTTACAAGCATCCACTACCTCGCGAGAAACCTCTTTCAGATGATCCTGTCCTCCAAAGAGATGAGGGATGGTGTACATGAGAATCGGACGTCCACTTGGAGCAACTGCATTTCTGCTTCTGCGTATTATGTGGGTGTTCCACATATGTGCAACTTGCTGCAGCTCTTCCTATTAAATATTAAAAATTAAAAAATATCATATCAGTAAAAGAACACATTTCTCTTGGCTCAACATGTTACCCAAAACGGCGCTGGCACGGCTGGCAGCCTTAACCCAATTTCCCTCGGGATGAATAAAGTACGATCAATCAATCAATCAATCAATCAATCAAAAGCACCACACAGTGACAGTCAGAAAGACAGAGTTTATCAAATAAATATGAAATATGCATTTTTTCATATCCTGAACGCAGTGATAATAGGGATGGAGCATGGTGGGTGTTAAGGAAAACTTTTTATTCTCTCTCCGTGTCTCTCTTTCTCTCTAACACACACACACACACACACACACACACACACACACACACACACACACACACACACACACACACACACACAATGACTCATTAAAAGAATATAAACATAGTTACATACCTCGATGATGTTCAGGCATGCACGTAAACAATATGAGCTGCTTGTCCAAAAAACATCCAGAAAAGCAGTCATGGTCTTTTAGTTCCTGGAGACCATTTAACCAGTGCTGAGCATGATGTCGTCTCAGAAAGGCCCACCAGCCTTCAATACGCTGATTGTGATTGCTGGATCCAGTAATAAAACACTTTCTGACGTTCGGATCCATAGTCCAGCGAAAGAATCGTTGCATCTCGGCCATTATGACATTTTCTGTTCCCAAATCAGAGCGAATCCTAGCAGGTGTTCCCATCGTCTTTTCAACTTCTGCTATGATCCAGCAAAGTCATCCAGCAATGACTTTGGGATCATTGTTTGTTGAATAGGCATGAAGCCAAATCACAACTCTCGAAAAGCCATCAGTAGCTCCATTTATACAGATTCCAAAAGGCTTCAGTTTGTCATAGGAGTCAACATGCCACATGAAATTTGGTCCAGGATTTACATACGTGCGTCGCATTAGGCGATTTCTGCGTCGTTGCTCAACACCGTAAGGGTCAAGATATTTCAGTAAATGTCTCACAGTACTCTGCGTGACAACATAACCTGCCTGAATGCAGTTCAGGTGGTGTAGTTTGTATCCATGGAGCCTCCCATGTCCCTCCAGTTGATCAATAAGAAATCGACTCATTCTTTCTCCTGTACAGTCCCATGCGTTTTAGGTTTCTTCTAAGTGTCCGCATGCTTATCACAATACTGTCCAAACTGCTCAATAACAGCAAAATCTCCCCATGCCTCAATCCAACCATAAAATAGAACTTAATTCATTCCAATAAACGAGCCATTTTCTCGCACTCTGATCTGCACTGTCACCCACTTCACTATGTTTTACACTTCCGTATCTTTACAGCAATATATCATGCTCGAACAATAAAATATATGTTATAACATGAAAACTTTATTGTTCAAACAATATAATTATCACGTTCGTACAATATATTGTACGAACGTGATAATTATGTCTATTGTAATAACGTGATATTATGTTGTTCAAACGTGAAAAGTATATTGTACAAACATGATAGTATATTGTACAAACAGGAAAAGTATCTTGTTAGAACAATAAACTTTTCACGTTATAAAGTGATTGACATGGGCCGTGGTGCGCGGGCACGAAAGGATCCAGGCGCAGACTCCGAGCTAACAGAAAGACACTTTATTGAAACAACGAAAGGCGACCCGGGGAAATTAGAGAGCAAAACAGAAACTAAAAACCCGGGGAAACAATGACACGAGGAAGCCGGGATCGGGACGGCGGGGGGCTGCAATAGAAAGGGGAGATGATTACTAGGGAGCCAGGAAGCGGGGAAAACATATCAGGACTGAGTTAGAGTAGGGGCTTACGATAGAACGGGACCGTGGGAGCTCGGGAGGGAAGTGTGGCAGTCCGTGGGGGCAGGAAGTCCGTGGGAATGGCGAGTGGGCCAGGTGAGCACCGCGAGATCCAGTTGAGCCGGAGGACAGGCAGGTAGCAGACGCCGAGTAGAAACCTGGACAGAAGTAGGCAGGTTAAACAAAGTTCCAAGCAGAAGAGAATGCACACTTTTCGTGGAAGTCTGGTTACCACTGTGGGGATAACTAACGGACTGGCGTGGAGAATCCGTCAGCGCCGGATTAAGTGGATCTCCGTGTAATCACCGTGATGGAGAGCAGGTGTGCTGGTGATGGCCCAGCCCGGGAGGGGTGTGGCTACCCGAGCATCACGCATTCCACAGACACAGGACCACGGACCATGACAGTGATACACTTGTATTTTTCTTTTGCCTGGGTGGCAGCTCTACGCTTCCGTATCTCAGTGTGTCGTTCTCGCTCACTGTCACTACCCGATCCGTACCGGAAACCCGATCGGTACCCCGCATGCGCAAATCTTACGTCACTTCCTCTCTTTGCCAACATTGCGACATTCAATATATTTGAATGATACGCTTAGCGCCCAGTTAGCTCCTAGCATTTCTCAACAGCTCTGCCTCCTTTTCGACTGCCCGGGACATTTAAACAATGGATAATCCGTATACAAAGAAATTCATGCTTTTCTCCTCAACAGAGAGCGTCCCCCGATTGAGCAACAGCGCCGTAAAATAAGAAGAATGGCGCCTAATAGACTACTTGCACTAGGGCATGTGACGTATTTCCGTTTCCAAATAGTACCGCTTGTGCGTTTCCGGTACGTTTGCTTATCTATCGGTAGCTATGCTAATGTCGCTTCAGAATGAGTATAAAAAGGAAAGTATTTAAAACAGAACATTTTCAAAAACAGGAGAAGAAATACTCCGAGCATTGCTGTGTCCCACTTTGTTCAGCTTCAGCCAAATTTAACGGCATACTAAGTTTTCATGCCTTTCCGACCCATTCCAACTTGAGAAGACAATGGCTGGTAAACATACGCCGGGATCATTTCACGATCACCTCTCACACCAGGGTCTGCTGCAGACACTTTGCCAGTGATCAACTCATAGAGCCAACAACCCTCGATGGTCGAAGGAGGCTTATTAAAGGTGCTGTACCAACACTTTTTGAGTGGAATGGCTATAAAGTTGAACCACCGCGGCATAGTGTTTGGGAGAGAACGGAGCGACGCCCTGAACTAGTTCCTCCTGACGATCAAGAAGAGCACAGTCTTACAAGAGATCATGACTACTGCTCAGTCCCTGAGCCATCTGCATTGGACATATCTGCATCAGCTGCAGAAGACGTGGAGACTCTGAGGAAGGAAATACAGGAGTTACGTGTCCAGCGAGAATTTGGGTTACAGCGTTTTGCTGGCTCCGACACTGACATCCGATTCTATACCAGGTACACCTAAGTTCTATTCAAGCTAACTGTTTAAATATACCAAGGTCACCATCAGTTAAATTTCGAAAGTTTTTCCAGTCTTAATGAAAACAAAATAGATATTTACTTTTTCTCTGCTGATTGTATGTTTTATGTAGATGCTTTAGTATTTAAACGATATCCTAATGCTACAGGTAAAATACAACACCAAATACTCTTAATCAGACTATTTTATACAGCATACCATTAGCATATTTGTCACAGTTCACATTATTTTTATGTCAGTGTGTAATGTTAATTAATGATTGACATGATGTATGTCTCTCTCATGAATAGATTTCCAAGCTATGATCATTTGATGGCATTCTGGGTTTTGATTGAGCCTTGCATCTATAAAATGATCCGGGTTTCAAGAGCCAAGTCAGCTGCCAATCGGAACGAAGAAGTGTTGACACCTGCACGCACATCAACAGTAGGTTATGGGTTTGTTGGTAGTTAGAACTAGAGGTGTAATGTTATTGTATTTATGTACAATAACATTACATTATGTACAGTAGCATACATACACAGGTGTATGTATGCTAGACTCAGTATCCTTTACATACATACACCTGTGCACTACAGCACCTCATTGTTTACCCCATGGTACAGTATGGTATGCCTAACCATTACAAAACATTTAGCCAAGAAAAGAATAATTTTACTAGTTCATAGCTTAAGGAGTAACATTTTCCCTTTTGTTTTCACCTTCCAGAGGCAGCTGCTACAGCCAATTGACGAGTTTTTTCTTTTCCTGGTTTTCCTGTCAGTTGGTTTGAAGGAGAGGGACCTGGCACACCGATTTAACATACACCAGTCCACAGTGAGCCGCATTATTGCAACATGGACAAATTTTCTTGCCACTGCACTGGGGTCTCAGTGCATCTGGCTTACACGTGAAGAAGTGCAAGCTTACCTCCCTGAGGAATTCAAAGATTTCTCAGACACCCAGATGATCCTTGACTGTACAGAGCTGAGGTGTCAGACACCATCCTCACCACTTCTCCAAAGTGAAATGTACTCTTCGTACAAATCCCACTGCATGATGAAAGCCCTGGTTGGCATAGCTCCACATGGTCCAGTGACATTCATCTCTAATCTGTATGCTGGTTCGGTTAGTGACAAGGAACTATTCAAACAATCAGGCATTGCTGAGAAGTTGACTGAAAACATGGCAGTGATGGTATATAAGGGCTTCCTAATCACTGATTGTTGTAAATGCAAAGTGTACTGCCCACCTTTTCTATCTAAGCAGAAGCAGATGCCAGCATACCAGGTTAAGGAGACGCAGGCCATAGCCAGACTCAGGGTACATGTGGAGCGAGTCATTAGGAGGATCAAACAGAACAAACTTTTTGATAGCATCATTACCATGTCACATGTTTATAATATCAACCAACTGTTTGCAGTGGCATGTATGCTGTCAAATTACCAGAACACAGCATTAGTTAAAAAATGGGTTAAGTGAGACAAGATGGATTTTTCCCAAGACACCAGTGCCAGTAACTTATGGAAAATGACCTGCAGCTGAGGCCACTACAGTTGCATTTCTTCCTTCTCAGCTGACAATACTTGATTACAGAACTGGTACTTGAGTGCTGATAGTTGAGTTTCAGTTATTGATAATTCAAATTCATTGCAAATGTTTAATGTTAATAAGACTGTTTAATTATATTACTATATTACTATTCAGATTCAACAAAACTGTTTATCAAAATTATAAAGTGAATCACTAAATCGTTTTAAAATCATAAGTGACATTGAACTTTTGTAACATCAAAAATACCATTTATCATTTTCTACAGTTCAGTTGTGTTATTGTCTAAATGTATATCAGTATGCTAGGCATGGAGTTTTAAATACTTACCATGTAAATAAGTTCTGCACAAATTCAACGTTTAATGTGTGTTTTTAAAAATTAAATTGATGCCATTGCTTAAATAACAGTTTATTGATGTCACATAAAGGTAACATGTAACAACAAAAGAATTCATGAAATATATTGAAAATAAAACATCAGTTATTTTGTTCCAGCCAGCCTGAAGGATCTGTTTTTCTTTTTGCTATGTTTTTACTGTTCATTTTTTCAAACACAGGTATCTTGGCATATATATGTAAAAAAAGAAATAGTCTGCCTTTTCTCTGATTGCATTGTGCACATCTGTATCCATGTATATTCTTTGCACTAGGTAGTCCTCTTTGCCCACAACAAAGTCACACCACTGCATCCCACTGATGAGCAGTTGTCCTTGCACTTGCCAGTAATATGCGTGGCTCTTTTTAGTTTAGGGGTACCACATTCCATCTGCACATATTTGCAGTCAATAAAGTTTTGTACATTGGGACATTTGAATTCGACGAAGCCAAACTGGGGGTATTCATTGGGTCAAAAACAACACCATCAGGAGATGCAGCAAGCAATGGGGTGAATGACCAGACCACAGGGTGAGTAGTTAACATTCATTAGCCTACTATACTCTGCTGCTATTGCAGGCTCCATCTCAGTTCCTCTCCTCATGTCTGCTGTCTGCCTTGTTCCCTTCAATATACGCTCTGCTAGTGACTCGGCCGAGCTCTGGCCTCTGACGTGACACACCTCCCGAAACCTAGAGGCAGTCACTCTGGGCCTGCGGAGCTGATGCCACTCAGACGAAGAGCTTTGCTCACGTGTAGCTTCCTCTATTTTGTGAGCCATTTCCAGAGTTACAGACAAGCTTTTCAGATGCAGAAGCTCTTCTTCTGAGCACACAAACACACAATCTGATGGCAAGATGTCATACCCCTCCAGAGGCAAGTGCGGTGTTGGTGGTGCATCGCGGTGTAGTGTGATGTACCGGGTTGTCAAAACCGGCTGCTGATATGACAGAACACTGCCCTCCTGCACCAGCCCAAAGGCACTTTCCACAAGGGGCTTGTCAGGTCTCATGTTCATTGTGGTCACAAGTGGCCTGTCCTCAATATTAAATTTTGCATATGCCTCCGTTATTCTGAACAAGCAGGGATCTGGTAACGGACCCACCATGCCTCTGTAGAAGCCACTCCTAAAGAAAACATCAATGACAATAATGTAAGGAAGAAGGTTATTATACTGAACAACAACTAAACTAAAAACTAAAAGGTGTAAAACAGTGGTGCATAAGTTAGAGACTGGGATGTATATGTACATGACTGAGTTAGCCGTCTTCAGAAAGTGTAATGTTGTATGTAAATTAATACCTATTCTGACACATGTATGTATGAAAAAAATAGCAACATACATTTGTAACACGTGAAACCAAATTTTACAAATGTAATTACTGTACTCCAGTCTGGGCCATTCTATTTGGTACCGGCTTAGTGAAGATCATGGAGTTGATGGGTCCTGGCTTCACACCCTAACAGAAGACACATTTACTATGGATGGTGTTGCTGTTCATATGTAAACATGGACTAATTCAAAAACTTTAACCTCATTTAAATTACCACTGTCCGTGGCTTGTGCCATTGCTGTTCAGATTCCGTGCAGCTATGCACAGGGGGGACAACCGGCACTCTGAGTTGTGAGTAGTGTGCTGTTTGGAAGAGCAGTGCCACTGTGTGATTGCACATAACAGCGCCTGCCACACAGGAGCACTGGCTATGTGTCAGTATCACCGGCGATGAATCCAGAAGCTTAATCTAAGAAGAAAGAACGAAAATTAAAAATGTAACATCTTCATGGAAGAGCCGAACAGGAACATAGTTCAGTGTTATGGTTACGCACCCTCCTGAATGCTTAGTGTTTCCTTCTCTCCCTATTAAAACAACTTAACCATGCTTGATAACTGTAATAACTTAGATTGTGTATATTTGCAGTATTAACTTGTTGTCAAATGTTTCTGATCACCCAAACACACGTTGATTTAACTATCTGACTAGTCAAATTAGGAGTGATAAAGCAGGGAGACAAGGAAAACATTCAAGTTGATGGGCCTTTAGGAATGAACTTAACTAATGCTTAAATGAACTGAACCCCACTGAACGGGGATTAACAACTTTACACAGCTTCCTGCCTACACTTAGTCTGTGTGGTGCCTCACTCCTTCCTCATGACCTGTAGCACAGGGCTCTCACACCAACCTCCCCTGACAACCTGTCTTTATTGGACACTGAATAAAGATACAAGTACCATTAGCATTATTTCTGTATTACTCATTTCAGCATGTCTTAAACATATATATTTTACACTTAGCAAGAGTAGCATTAGGTAGTTAACTACCTCCATAGTTAGCCAACTACCTAACGCCATTATAACAGTGTCTAACTACAAAAGTGACATTAGTTAAGAAAACCTCAACTATAGTTTAGGACGACATAAAACACCGTTTAAGAAAACATGTAATGTAGAGAACTGACATCAAATGAAGGACATAGCGGAGTAACGTAGTGTTTGCATTTGACATTAGCTAGCGTTTCTTTGTCGGTTAATTTACGTTTTCTTACCTTCGTAGTTGTGTATATATGATGCAGCATATAACTTAAATCCTTTATCTAATTTGCTGGCGGGGGTAGTCATCACTCTGCAAATCCGATGAACATCGGTGATGTTCAATTTTGGGAGCTCTTGTAGGCAGCGAGTGTAGAACGTCGCCATGGTTTAACCGCACCGGAAGCACTGGGGCAGGACTACATAGAACGCGGAAGTGTTCGTGCAAGTAGTCCATTACAGAGTTAATAATGCAGACTTTGTAATATCTCACGTGTAGATTCATCAGCCAGATTAAGTGTTTACTGACAATTGACAGTGATAGCGCACATCATCATCACTATTCCAAAAATCCTCTCCTCACAGACAAGCATAAACACACTCGACTATCGCTAAATCAGATTTAACACACGTTTGTAATGACGATAATTCCGTTCATAATAGGGTTTATTCGCTCGGTCAGCAGGTGGCGGTATCCTCGTACACTGGGGAGTAAACTGCCATTAAACGAACAAAAGAAGAAGAAAACATCTGCACATCCGCGGTACGGATCGGGTAGCCCCGATTTGTACGGTCAGACTTTACACATGCGCAGTAAGGATCAGAGAGTCCTGATCCGTAACTTTCTTTTTATTTTTCGTTTTTGTCTACATTGTATTGAAATGCTTCATTATTGCAAACATTTTAAGATATACTTGTTATTCTTAACAGATACTCTGACCCATAACTATCGTAAAACGCTACGACCGGAAGTAGAAACCTTTCGCGCATGCGGGGTACCGATCGGGTTTCCGGTACAGATCGGGTAGTGACACTCACAACTATAACATCTCTGCTCCGTGCGCTCAACTCTCTGTACACCGTTATAAGTGTGCCACAATGATATGCGACAATGGGACTCAATCTCTATCCTTTTAATGATTGTGTTTTTGGTGTACTAAGTAAGCCACATGTATGTTAAAGTGTTCGCAGAAAGGAAACTGTTATATCTCATAAAAATGGCCTTCATATATTTATGTATATGTATATATGTGGGTTTTTTTGTTTTTGTTTTTTTTGGGGGGTTTTTTGTTTTGTTTTTTTCTATTTCGTTTGGTTTCTTATTCAACCTTTTCAAGATGTTGTTGCACTAATGTTGTCCCCCAACGAGAGATTGTAATATGTGCATAAATTTAATTAAAGTATGGGGGGAAAAAAAAAAGTGTGCCACAAAACCAACCAATCACAGACTTGGATGTCAATATTCTGATTGGCTGTTACGGTATCCAATCAGCTGGCTAGCTACTGCATTCCGGAAACACGGTCCAGAATGTAGTTAAATCCAGTGGAGTGGTTTGGTTTAAACTAGATTAAAACAAACACTGGTCTTAATTATATATATTAAAAAAAAAATAAAATTTAACATACTAACCGAAAATGGATTTAGCTATATTCTGGACCGTGCTCCTGGAACAGGAACAGCCGATTAGAATATTGGCATCCAAGTATGTGATTGTTTCGTTTTGTGGCACACTTATAACTGTGTACAGAGAGTTAAGCGTGCAAGGAGCAGAGATGTGAGCGCGAACCACACATTGAGAGCAGGTCCGCAGATGTCTGTCAGCACACAGAGCAGAGATTTGAGCGAGAGGGGTTGTTGTTGTGTGTGTGTGTATATGGATAATAGCAAACACTCAAATACATTTCTTTCACGCAGCAATGCATTTTGTTCTCTCAAATTAAACTTTTCTTTGCTCAAAATAATTTTCTCCTCAAAATGCAACATTTGCGCTTGCATTTTTTGTTTACACGCGCTCAGAAGACAGGCACAAAATAACGCCATAATTTTCCTCCGTCTTCATCACTCACGTGGAGTAACAGCTTCTGTGTGGAGTCTGCATGTTCTCCCTGTTACGGCATTTGTTTTCCAGCTTCCTCCAACAGTCCACAAAACACACATGCAGGTAATGTGCTCTTAGTCCCCTTCTATTGGCTGCAGAGGTGACAGCCTGCTCACCTGTCCAGGTGTGCTCCCCTTCTCAGGCAAAATTAAGCTAAATAATAAAATAAACGTTTGGGTTTGTTTTTTTATCATTTACAAATTCTACATTCATGTAGTTTTTATCAAATCATTCATTTGTTCACATGTTTAATCGGGGATTTGATATTTTATCTCTGAATTAGTGTTTTTCCTCACACAGCAACTTTGAGTAAAGTTGAACCTGTGACTCGCTGTTACTGTAAAGACGCGGCTTTTTATTTCATTTATGGTTTTGTTTAATGGCTTAAAATTTTGTTGCTAACATTCGTTTCTAATCATTTTGGCTTTCAGTTAATTGCTTTTATTATTAAGCATTTTAAAAAATTATCTTATATTAAACACCATGTTTTCTAATATTTATTATTTTGCTAAATTTTGAGGGATATTTTTATTATTCAGTATTTCAGAGTGTTGCCTTATTATTATTTTCTGATCTTCTTCTTCTACGTTTTTATTGCTTCATATTTTTTTCTTTTCTTATATATTTATTCTCATAAACTTGATTTTTAAAATCTTTTGATGTTATTTTTTCTTTTTTTCAAATTCTAACTTCATTCTAAATATTTTAATCAAAAACTTTTAATTTTTATTTTTTGGTGATGATTTCTTTCCCCTTTATCTGAAATGTTGTTGTTATCATTAAATGTTAATATTTTTGATTTCTATCATATCGTAAAGTAAATACTGTTGTTATGATTATTTGTGTCAGTCACTCAGTACACCTGTGTGAGCAGGGAGTGGTGGGTGGTTGGTGTGTCATTGAGTTGATGAACATACTTGTCTGCAGACGAGGTTTCATCTTCCTGCTTTTACCTTTACGGTAAAAGCAGGAAGATGAAACCTCGTCAGCGTTTCCTGAATCCTTCATGAAGACGTCACAGACTTACGACCCCACAAGCTTTCAGCCACAAGCTTCTGGCTGGAGGGCTTCAGTCTCTAACAGGAAGCACCTCTTCTGTGTTTCTGCTTCACGCTGCAGTCGATGGCGAGAGGATCAAAGTATCTGCTGTGTCACCGGCCTCCAGAGGGCACTCAGTTTCCTCCTCCAAACATGGCGGGTGGCGTGGATAAAGCTCCATCACTCTCCTGAGGACCTGGAAACACAGACTTCACTCATCTTAATTGGCCCTGAAGCAGTGCTTTGCCACTCTCGGCTCCCTTGGCGGCTTCTTTGAGTCTGAGGAGGGAGCTCGTTATGCTCCCATGCAGGCCTTTAACACTGAAGCGTGATATTAGAAAATGATGAAAAACTGTGATCAACACGTCAGGAAAACGAGTCGTTTGCTCAGGAGAGGAAAATATGTGAGCGGTGTGCTTCTCACTGATGTACAGACATAAAACTTAATGATTATGCTGAAGTAATGAGGGTTTAAAAATACCACAGCTCAGGCTTAGAGCAGAGTGAAGACCAACACTCTCAAACACCACCTCCAGCCTCCAAGCAGCTCTTCTACCTGCCTGCACTGACCTGCAGGAGCTCCTGTCTGCTGGACTGAGCTCTGAGGTGACGCCCTCCTCAGACACCAGTCTGTGGGCTGAGCTTGTGATGATGCTGGCGAGCTCCACTAAATCTCTCAGCTGGAGAGTTTCAATACAGCCATTAAACCACAATAGAATCTCAGTTCCAGATGTTTAACAGCTGTGGTCAGAGGTGCCTTTAATCCAGGTGTGAGGAGCATCATCAGTCACCTGAATCCTAAAATTGCTGTTTAAATGTTCACAAACTCATCTCTGATTTTGTTTCTTAGTTCTGGATTCACGTTTTTGTTCCTAAATCCTGCAGCAGGACGCAGGATTTCCTCTGATCATCGCCTTGGTAACTGATGCTGAGTTCCAGGTTAGAGATCAGCACGTATGAAATCATCGCCTGTTGACCAATCAGACATGTGTAGGACAGCATCACCCTAGCTGTGTAGCTTCAATGTGCAGGCCAGTGGCCATGTTCTGCCTTCTGTTTCTGGTTCCTGATGCTCTCCTGTGATATTATTCATCAGTGTCTCCTCGTGTTTGTTCCTCCTCACCTTGCAGAGAGTTTTTGGACAACACCTCCTCCTTCTAGGATGTTTTGGTAACAGATCCTGCTGGACGAGGAAGAGCTGCATGTGAAACACACAGAGGCGCCTATCTGTCCTGCACTCCACGTCTCCAGCTGCAGACGTTTCATTTTCAGTCACTTCTTTTTCACCTTGCTGCACTTGCCAAAGTCACATGGTCCCAAACAAAGCTGAACCCTGACCAGGTCAGACTCACGTGGTCCTACTGCAGCACCAAGGAGTTCCCGCGTTACGTAGGAGCGTTTGAGCTCAACTGCCAGAGGATTCCTCCACATCTGGACAGAGCCAGGGACCAAAGCAGAGACACATCTGGAGAGGAGAGGGGAGCCTCAGCAGGCTTACGTAAGACACCATCTGTCAGTCAGTCTGATCACAAACAGCTGCAGCCCCAAATCCCCCGACACTTCACAGACTTCATCTGTCCACAGCCTCGCCCGTCAGCTGCCTGCATTGGCCTGACCCCCCTCCTCCTGCTCCTGCTCCTCATCCTCATCCTTCTCCTCATCATCACCCAGAAGGTCGCATTTGAACTCATGCATGAGTCTTTTTATCCCACTGGTGACGGCTGAATATTAATGTGCATTATGACTTTAAACGTCCCAGCAGTGCCGGCTAATGTGAACAGAAATCTAATTTGTTGATGCTCCGCAAAACACAGTAGAGTGATTATGTTAGCACAGCCACAGGTGTGTAATAACGTCCAACAGGTCATTAAATGTTCTCATTCCCTCGCACTGCAGCACAAATGCGCTCTTTTATGTCACTAAATCTCATCTAACCTTCTAAAACCTGCAGATATGTGCAGTCCTGCCACCGAGAGGTCAACAGCAATAATCTCAGAACCAGGTGTGTCAGACTCCGCCTCCAAACCTCATCTTTAGGCATTTTTTTAAAATATTTATCTATGTATTTAGAAAGAGGGACAATACATAATAATTAACATTTTCACAAATGTAAATATGCCAGATTATAGCCTTCAGCTAATTTCCATCTGAAAACCCTCTGACAGGTTGGTGTTGCACACAAGTTAGTAAAGAACACACAGAGACAGTATTTACAGACCATTTATATAGAGAAACAGTTATCACATCATATTAGAACAAACAATGACAAAAACAA